GTCACATTCTGAGTACTGGAAAATTACCAAGTATGCACAAGGTATACCTAGGTGCGTGTCAGATGTATCCAGTACCTATTGGGTATRAACTGAGTACATACCAGGTAAGTAACCCAATAAGTAGTAGATACATGTCAGGTTATTTGAGACTTTATTCATTTCAAAACTAAACAATTTCTATATAAAATAAAAAATACAAATCACAAATAAAATGAAAGGCAGCAGAAAGAAGAAAACTGCTTCTAAATTTAGGTTTGACAAACGTCCATTAAGATTATAACAACTCTCTCTTAAACTTTAACTGGATGTTTAAAGGTAATGGGTTTTTATGAGYCTTATGATCAACCAAATCGTAGAATTTTAATAACTTCATTTGATGTAATAATGTATTTGATGGATGACTGTAGTGTTTTCTGGTGATAATAAGGATTTGTAATTGTTTTACATGCTTTTCCACAAACATCAAGACAATAGATCAAGTGTGGAACAATTACTGCATTACAACTGCATTACAACTTATACAGAGATTTATCTTTGAGTAACTCCTTTACTTTATACAGTACTTCAACAGGTTTATATTTTTGTTCTTAAATGATTTATGTGAGGTCTCCATGTCAGCTTTTCCTCAATGATGACACCCAAAAACCTGACCTTGCTGACTCTGCAGATCTCAACACCATCACCTCTAAATGGAACATTGACAGTTATGTATCTTTCTATTACTAAATATCATGTGATTAGTTTTATCTAAATTTAATCATTTCAATTTAATGTTCTATAGTTTTACTCAAACAAAAATTGTGGTATCTGCAAATAAAACAAATTTAAAAAGTCATTTACATATGAAATAAATAACTTTGGACCAAGTACAGAACCCTGAGGGACTTCACGTGGGATGTTACTAGAGATGGGACAAATGGCTCTCTGAAGGGATCCGGATCTTGGGGATCCGTTTGTTTCATAGAGCCGTTCAAAAGAGCCGATCGATTTTGAATGTATTACGTCATCACGTAGGGAAATACGTCACCACGTAGCCGTGCGTGATGACGTCACCCCATCACGTGGGTGGAACCATGTGTTTGTCAACGGAAACCCCCCTCCCCCTTTYACATGAGCCTCTGTACTCCACAACTCCGCCTGTGAAAAAACAAAGCGGGAGCGATTTAAGTATGAAAAAAAATAAAGATTAAATGAAGAATAAAAGAAATAAAACTACAAAATGCTTGTTACTGCCCGCGATTCGGCTCCTATCATTCGTTGCAAAGAGCCGTTCAAAAGATTCGGATCGTTCACGAACGTCACATCTCTAGATGTTACAGAGTTCAGATCTTACATCTGTACACACTGTTTCCTATTTTCAAATAACTGGATACCCACTGCAGTGCTGCATCTCTAATGCTGTATATATTCAGCTTTTCAAGGAGCCTGGTGTGGTGTCAATAGTGTCAACATCTGGTCAGGTATGTACCCAGTAGGTTGGTTAGGTTATATGTATCAGGTATTAAGTATGTATTAAGTATGTATCAGGTATGTATCCAGTCGTACAAAGTATGTACAAGTAGGTATCATGTATGTATCAAGTATGAACCCAGTAGGTATCCAGTATGTGTCATGAATGTATCAGGTATGTATCCAGTATGTAACATGAATGTACCAGGTATGTATCCAGTCGTATCAAATATGTACAAGTATGTACAAGTAGGTATCAGGTATGTATCAAGTATGAACCCAGTAGGTATCCAGTATGTGTCATGAATGTATCAGGTATGTATCCAGTCGTATAAAGTACATGTACAAGTAGGTATCAGGTATGTATCAAGTATGAACCCAGTAGGTATCCAGTATGTGTCATGAATGTATCAGGTATGTATCCAGTCGTATAAAGTACATGTACAAGTAGGTATCAGGTATGTATCAAGTATGAACCCAGTAGGTATCCAGTATGTGTCATGAATGTATCAGGTATGTATCCAGTCGTATAAAGTACATGTACAAGTATGTACAAGTAGGTATCAGGTATGTATCAAGTATGAACCCAGTAGATGTCCAGTATGTATCATGAATGTACCAGGTATGTATCCAGTCGTATCAAATATGTACAAGTAGGTATCAGGTATGTATCAAGTATGAACCCAGCAGATATCCAGTATGTGTCATGAATGTATCAGGTATGTATCCAGTATGTGTCAGGTATGAACCCAGTACACACCAGGTACTGGTATTGCTTCCAAAACAACACATTAAAATAAAAACTTGCTCTGGTGGTCCTGATCGGCTCCTCGCTCTCTGCCTGCTGGCCGTTTCCTGCTGACCGCTGTGGATAGATTAATGAGCGTGAGATCCGAGGAATGTTAATTAATTTGATTATGTGTGGAGAGGGGAGGGGTCTGAGGTTTGGTGGAGTGGGACACGGGTGTTCTGGTGTGAGGGGGGGGGGGTCCTGTTTTATCGAAGAGAGGCAGAAGATGAATAGGTTCTGTGGCTTTTATATATAGCATGTGCTGCCACATAGTCAATGCACTTTTAATTCACCTCTTACACACACACACACACACACACACACACACACACACACACACACACGTTCATTACCCAGTTTACTAATGGAAATCTAATCATTACTCCACCTGCTTGTCCACACACACACACTCAGTGCTGTGGTTTGTTCAGCACTGATATCCCCGGGTGGATTAACCGGACCTCGGGGGCTGTTTATATGAAGCCACACAGCAAAGTCAGACTAATTGTATTAACCGACCCAAAGAGCAGCTCATGACTCTGACCCTGGGCTGTTTATGACCCGCAGATCAATCCAGCTCCTCGCTCACTTTTTCCTCATGTTTTCTTTTTTTTTTAATCCCAGCTAGTCCATCACTCATCCCCTCCACGGTTTGGTTAAATCATCCGCACCAGTCGCTGTCTAATTACCTCCATCGTTAAGATACTGTATATGATTGACCATAAAAAGCTGCAGTAAAACGGGCAGGAAGCAAACAAACAGGAGCTTTAGCGCGGCGGCCTGGCCCTGCTGATACGAGGACAGCGGTTATGGCCGTTCGGTGTCAGTTCCACTGACATTTTCATTTCATATTTAATTGCACACCGGTGATTATGGCACTTAGGGTTTTATTTTAAATTTATCTAATAATGCTCCGGTGGCCGTGCACTGACACTTTTTTATTTTATTCGGTGCTCAATCAAGCTGAATTTACCGTTGCTCTGCCTGTTTCCACTCTGGTACAAATGTCTGCTGAAGGAGTGTTGGAAACACGCTGCCCGGTTCAGGCCCGTGTGCCTGGCAGACGATGTGAAGGGAAAATGAGTTTCATTTTCTTTACCTGTTTCTTTCTTCCTGGGTGACGGGAAGCTGCTGTCTGCTCTTCCAGGTCTCGWGGTTTTGGTTCAGAGGCTGCAGGAGGCAGAAGTTATTTCTTTCTCTTATTGAAACTTCCTGTAGATGTCTCCATTTTTTCTTCTCTTTCCACAATTTATATTTGAAACTCTTCAGCTCCTTCAGGACATTTCAGCTGTGACTTTTGTTTCTACAGCAGTTTATTCTTTGTGACATGTTTAGCTTTTTAAACTTCTTTGTGCTAATTTCACATTTCAGCTTCTATTTCATTGATTCAAGCTTTTTTTCTGCTTTTTATGTCATTCTGACCCTTTCTGCTATTCTTCAGCTAGTTTAAACTTTTTGTGCTTCTTCCTGGTAATTTAAGCTGTTTATTCTTCTTTTAGCTGCTTTCTGCTAATTTAAGCTGTTTATTCTTTCAGCTGCTTTCTGCTAATTTAAGCTGTTTATTCTTCTTTTAGCTGCTTTCTGCTAATTTAAGCTGTTTATTCTTTCAGCTGCTTTCTGCTAATTTAAGCTTTTTATTCTTCTTTTAGCTGCTTTCTGCTAATTTAAGCTGTTTATTCTTCTTTTAGCTGCTTTCTGCTAATTTAAGCTGTTTATTCTTCTTTTAGCTGCTTTCTGCTAATTTAAGCTTTTTATTCTTCTTTTAGCTGCTTTCTGCTAATTTAAGCTGTTTATTCTTCTTTTAGCTGCTTTCTGAAAATTTCAGCTGCTTTCTGTAGTTTTTAGCTGCTTTTTATCTAAATTTAGCTAATTCAATATTTTCAGCTAACTGCACTTTTTTGTGGTTATTTCAGCTTTATTTATTATTTTTATTACTTCCTGTTATTTAACAGGTAAGTCCTGTTGAGATGTCAGATCTGTTTTTCGGGGGCGGTCTGAAGACAACCTGTTGTTGTAYGTGTTGTTAGGGGTGGTACCYGGAGAAAACCCACACAAGCACGAGGAGAACATGGAAACTCCTCACAGAGACCTCAGGTCCAGACGGGGAATCGAACTCACGACCTTCYTGCTGTGAAGCGTCGGTGCTAACCACTGAGCCCCTTTTTACTGATTAATTCAGAAAAATAGAAACGAGAAGAATCAAGAACCTTTATTTTGGTTCTGTTTACAAAAAGACAAGTTTATACACAAAGAACTATAAATATGTGCTCTGTGTCAATTTCAGCTACTTTTTAAAGCTATTTTAGGCTAGTTTCAGCTTTTTTTAGATAAGATAATATTTATTATCATCACACAATCATACTTTGTACGATAGTGCGATGAAATTGTGGTGTTKTCCCACCCTGGTGATATAAAATATGTTTAAAAAAAGAATAAAACACAAATTAGCGATTGTAAAACAAGCAGAGTCTTTCTTGATTCTTGCTCATTTGAAAAGTTTCTCATTTCCTCATCTGTCTGTTAATTTTCACTTGTTTCATTTCAGCTTCATTTTGCTCATTTTAGCTACTTTTTTGCACATTTCAGATGTATTTTTACCCTTTTTTTTGCTGTTTCCCTCTGATTTTCACWTGTTTTTGTCCTACTTTAAACAAAAGTCAGCTGTTCAAACTGAACTCACATCATCAGTTTTGTTGTTAAACCTTTTCAGCAGCTTTCAGCTAAAATCCCTCAGCGTTAATCGTTCACACTCTCGTTTCAGGGAATTTCTTCAGATCTTTACGATGTCGATCCGTCCAGGACGGCAGCGCAGCCGACTGAACAGTGATTTTCCGGCTGTAAAGGTAAAGTTTGTCGTGTTTGTARAGTTGTGACTCGACACAGGTGTGTTGTCTGACATCCTTGTCGCCATGGAGACAGCCAGTCGCCACAAACTCCGCGTCACCGTGGAGACGGGGCCAGGCATGGCCGGGACAGCGCTTGTCACAACCGCCCAGTGTCCTAAACGAGCCGAGCTGAG